CCCTGCACGGCTACTGCAGCCCTTTCCAGACACACAGTGCATGCACATGTACAGTATGAATGTAGAATTGCCTTGGTCCTCATTTGCGTGTCCAGCATGAGTCAAAACCTCCGCGAAAGCTAACTAGCGATCTACAGGCTACAGACTAACTTACAGCACACCTTAACTTTAATGAGATGTCGACTTTTGTTTTGTTTTCAACGGTCCTGATGCGGTTTGTCAAGACCCCCCCCCCGGTCAAGCCACGAAGCAAGGGGGCTGGATTGTAAGGCTACGTGCATGCAGCTCTCTGCTTGAGATTTGCAAAAGCACCTGGAGAGAGAGGGATCGCTACAATTCCCCAGGTTGGTAAATGGGAGGGGAGTACTGTGACCCGGTAGGGTCGATTTGCCAGGTAAGGAAGTATATACTACCTGGGATGGGGTCTGGCATCAACAACCATAATGACTATACCCAGAAAGTGTGACATAGACATTAAGCATAGCAACGGTACGAGTAAACGATAGCAGAGAAACAACCAACGCCGATAAAAAGAATTTACCGCAACTGCCGAGCCAAAAAAAATACATCTTGAGGCTCCAGCAAGATTATAATAATCGCGCAACGAAAAAAAAAGGATCTCCAGTTTTTATTTCCCTCTTTCACCCCGCCCGCTCCCCTCGCTTGGAACCATCTCTGTAATGTACACGGAATGGGTATTGCAAGTAGTCGGATGGGTTCAGTTGGAACTTGGGTGCAGTACTAGTTTGATCTTTGGGGATTATCATCGAGGGTACGGGAGATTGCTTCTGTCGTGATTGGTAGACTAGGACTTGGTGGCCAGTAGAGAAAGAACCGGTTGCCTACAATGTGGGAACGAACTCATCTGCTGGATGGTTGTTGTTGAGATTGAGATATTGTGTCGGAACTCGGAGATCCCGGTTGGTCGGTTTCTGGTCCTCTGGCTCGTTGGATGGAGATACTCATGTATGGAGACTGTTGGATTCGGACCAACACCGCCCATGTTGACCGTGTTTTCGGGTCTCCATCGTCGGTCGATGGAAAATGGACTATCTATGGCTCTAGTTCAAATCTTCGGAAAGATGACGAAACTGGACCATTTGCAGGCATACTTCGCCATACTCCGACTTCTGGTGGGTTTGACGGTTGTAGCAAGCAAACACGCAGACAATCGATCAAAAGTGTAATAAACATTCAGCAAAAAGCATTAAATGGTGTACCTGAAATTCCCCGATAGATAGATAATCATCAACCCCCTCCCGACGAATCAAAAGCAAAGCAACCTACTCCCTCCCCACTTTGTTGACTGGATGTTCTGGAAATTTGTAGCATTAATGCCTCACAAATGCCTGCCTGCCTCACTCTACAAATTCTAATCCAAACACCCACCTTGCCAGAAACCATTCATTCCAATCAATGTACATCTTCCACGTCACTAATTTCCCTGGCCCCCCCTTTTATGGGTTTGTTCCCCTGGTTTAGGTCTAATTGGAATGCCGAACTGCAAGCCACCAAAGCCACTGCACCAAATCCCCCCCAGGGAAAATTGATAGGGTTAGGGCAGCCGCACCTGGCGCAGGGCGGCGGGGGATCCACTTTTGCAGTTGCAGTGCCAGCAGGCACAGGCAGTGCTAAGCTGAAAGCAGAGGCTCGGTGGTTGGTGCAGTGGTTAGTGGAGTGGTTAGGGCTTTGCCGGATTTGTCCACCGGGCCACCACCAAGAGAAGTTCAGATGTTTGCCCGGGTTTTTCCGGTAAATCACCTTACTACCTGTCCGGTTCTGGGAGGGCTGGTGTGCTAGGCTGGCTTGGGTTTAGTGAGGGGCTCACACTCTTTTACCCCCCCTCGATCGGGTGTTGACGTTGACGTTGCTGTTGCTGTTGCTGTTGCTTGCTGGTGCGGGTGCTGTTTCGTTGCTACTTTTGCTTTTTCCATGCTACAACCACCACTGTACGGAGTACATAGAATCAAGAAAAACTCGACAAAGGCTTAAACCACCAAGCACCACCCAAGAAAGATTTTCTTCACAGCCTTACTAGTTATTTCTCCGTAGTTGTACGAGTAATAATCAAATCCTGGTAAGGTACCAAATTACTGTTTGTTACACAAGTTCGCAACCCTTTTTTTTTTTTTTTCGAGTGGTCGATGATTGACAGCAAACCGACGTCATCCCGCAGAGGTTAGTTTTTCTCCCCCCGTTCTGCATGGAGGACTGTCCTCCGAGCTCGAGCTTTTTGGTTTGGTCTGCGTGTGTCGGATGTCGCATTGCATTACTCTTCCTGTACTCCGTACGGCCGTGCTCTGTGTGGACTTTAGGTTGCAACTCGTGTTCAAGGTTATTGGCGGATGGTGAGGTTTTAGTTTTCGTAGGTTCTCTTCGGGGGCAGGGATTAGTTAACTAACTTAGCTGTCTTGGACTAATTCGTTACAACCTTGGAAGGTTTGATGATTTTCGGGGGCTGTTGCGTTGTCTTGCTGGTTGATTACGGAGACAATCGTTTACTTTGTACTCCGTACGGGTTACAATAATTAAATCTTGGTCCAAAAATGTTTGAAGGGTCATGGTCATGATTCTGTATTGTCTAGCTGATAAGAAGATTATCTCATTCCGTCATTTTTTATGTCCCGCATAAATCATTAACGCTTGGGGTTTCCTTCTTCCTTAAGCGGACAGGTTCTTGGCCGTCTCCTCGGGCCACACGTCGTAACCGAAGGTATCCTTCATGTTGACGAAGCGGAAGTGCCGGCCCTTGGCGACCGCGTTGACCGCCTCGAAGTCCTCGTCCGACAGCTCGATGCTCTTGAAGTTAGACTCGATGCGGGCGGGGTTGGAGCTCTTGGGCAGGACGACGTAGCCGCGGCGGATACCCCAGGCGATCAGCACCTGCGCCAGCGTGTTGTTGCCCTTCTGGGCGATCTCGTTCAGGGTCTTGTTCTCGCTGACGCGCTCGCCCGTCGTGGGGACCTGGTTCTGCGAGCCCAGGGGCGAGTAGGCCTCGGGCAGGATGTCGTGGTCGAAGCAGTACCGGACCAGCTCCTCGTTGGGCAGGAAGGGGTGGATCTCGATCTGGTTGACGTGAGGCTTGACCTCGGCGTACTTGAGCAGCTTCTCCAGGCCCTCGATGGTCCAGTTGGAAACTCCGATCGCCTTGACCTTGCCCTCCTTGTAGATCTTCTCCATCGCCCGCCAGGTGGGCTCGGGGTTCTCAGTCAGGTCCTTGAGGATGACGTACTGGAAGGCTTGGTTAGCTGGGATGCTGGTTGCTGGCTGCCAGGGGTCAAGGGATGGGGGGCGTACCTTTCCGTCAGGGCCGATCTTGGGCTTCTCCTGAGTCTCCTTCTCGGCGGCAATGGGCCAGTGAACCAGGAACAGGTCGATGTAGTCGAGCTGGAGCTTCTCCAGGGAGTTGTTGACCGACCACTCGACATCCTCGGGGCGGTGCAGGTGGTTCCAGACCTTGGTGCAGATGAAGATGTCCTCGCGCTTGACGGAGGGGTTCTTCTTGAGGAAGTCCTTGACCGCCTGGCCAACCTCGTCCTCGTTCAGGTAGAACCAGGCGCAGTCGAGGTGACGGTAGCCGATGTTGAGAGCGGCAGTGACGGCGTCGTAGGTCTCACCCTTGGATCCCTCGCTGGCGAAGGTACCGAAACCCACGGCGGGGATCTTGACGCCGTTGCTGAGAGTGAAAGTTTTGCCGGAAGACATGATGGTGATTTGTGGTGGATGTGGGGGTGGTTGTTGTTGTTGTTGGGAGGAAAGTTAATGGGAGGAAAAGGAAGAAGGACCGGCTTCAGTTGAGAGTTGTGGGAGGAAAGGTACAAATAATAATGGTGGTGGTTTGTGGTGAGTAGAACAGGAAGAATAGAAGTGGGGGAGGGCGTTTAAAGAGGGGTTGTGGTAGTGGTGGTAGTGGTGGTGATGGATGATGCTGCGAGGCGTGGTAGTCACTTTGCAATTGGCTCTCACCGATGACATTAACTTTTTTTCTGAGCTGTTCTACTGAGTCCAGATGAGTTCTACATTGTTCGATGGAGTTTTCTGAAGCTTCTAGCATCGAGGATCAAGGGCAATGGCATTAATTGTGAGCTCATAGCCGTAGATTCATAGCAAGCTTAGATGGATACTATGAGTACCATGAGTACTAGGTAGGTAGCTCCTCCACCGAAGCTCTTCCTACCTAGTATCCTCTCTAGTTTCCCTTCCCGGAGCGAGCTTCACCCGGCAACATGACGGCATTGCAGTGAAAACCCGTCATGAAACCCTCGGGCTCCCCTCCTCTTCCTCCTCTTCTCGTCTTCCTCCTGCCTGCCCCCCTCCCCTCCCCACTGCGTATTTTCAGGCCAATCCCAATCCAAAACCCATGACATCACCGGCTCATAATTCAGAGCGAAACGGCGCGAGCGTTTTGAGACCCGCTACTGCCCGCTCGATCGTCATCGGCTCCACCGATCTCAGACTCACCCATGGCTGAGGGTATTGACCTTGACCCAATTATCCCCCGTCCAAGACACCTGCTGGGTCTGTTCTGCCCCCTCCTGTCCACTGGCCATGCATTGTGGCTTCATGCCGGTCGGAAAGAGGATCCTCTGCCCCCCCCTTTTGCTGAACTAGTCTTAGGCATCTAGGGGGTTCGTCCTGCAGTGGAAATTAGTTATTGGCGGTGATGCCACAGGATAGCCCTGTTCCGCCCCGCCCGTCGAAGGTGGTGTGGTAGTGGTGGTGGTGGTAGTGGTGGTTGTGGTGGTGATGGCAATGATGGTCAGTGATAGCCTTAAGGGAACTGCAGACTTGTTGCAGACTTGCAGATGTGTCGCGGCGGTGATGAGGGTGGAGCAAAATCCCTCATTCTGATACCGTATATTACCTCCTATTACGACTCGGTACTTCTGATTTCTGGCCTGTCAGGGGGGATGACACGCTGGGCGGTATGGTACCGAACAGGGTCCGGGTGGTATTTGAGTGGAAAGATTACCATGGATCTTTCCAAGACTCCACTGCTCTGCTCACCAATGGTCGATTCCCTACCGACTCCGCTGGCCCCGCTCCTCCCTATCACCACTAATCACCATCCATGTGTGAGTGATGACGATAATTCCTAGGGATGATGATACGCCCCGGTGGAGCCCGGATTGTGGATTCGAGCAACTGCGGATGGCGGATGGAGGGCAGTAAACCCGCCGTAGCAGCAGTAGCAGCAGTAGCAGCAGCAGCAGCAGCAGCAGCAACATGCACCCCATCACCACCACCAGCACCACCACCATCGACTCCACTATCATTCCTCCTACGTATCGACTGCAGTACGCCGTACCATCCCAGCAGTAACACCCTCAGTAATGTGTTGAACCATCCATCAGAAACATCCCCCATTTCTAGTTCAATGACTTCGGCTGGTCCGCCACTATCGCTCTTCAAAGCTTGTTATATATGATCCCAGCTCCGCCCTCCTCTTTTTCTTCTTTCCTTCCGTCATCCTTCTATCCATTCTCATCTTCTTCTTCCATCACTACCACTTCCTTCCAGGTGAAGAGCTCTTCGGTTCATTTCCTGGTTTTCATCTTATAATAGGAGTGATATCATCCCCCCCGTCTCTTATCATCATTCCATCACCTTTCCGGTGTACGCTTTAAACTCTCTCTCCCTCCTCAGTCTCCCTGGTGGTGCTCTTTGGTTCTTCAACCTCGAAACTCAATTCCTCCGCCTCTTAACCAGTCAAAAAACTTATCCATCATCATGCCTCGCATCGAAGACGCTGAAGGGGTTGACCCTACTGCTCCTGCCCCTACCCACCGCGAGTCTCGCGGTTCCCTCCCCATTCCCGGTGATCTCTCCGGCAACACCGTCGAGGTCCCCGCTACCCGCAGCTCCATCAGTGATGCTGCTCAGTTCATGCACAACCTGAGCTTTGCTCCCTCTTCCCGGGACCGTCGTGCCTCTCGCAACTCCTTCGGCACCTCCCTGCCTATCCCCAGATCTCCCCGTGTCTCGCGGTTGTCCTCCGTTGTCACGAGAGATGTCTCCCGGGATATCCTGGCCTCCCAGGTCCAGGACATGTCCAAGGAGAAGGTCGCCGCCGCCAAGAACATGGCCTTCGCCTTCGACATTGACGGTGTCTTGGCTCACGGTAACCACGCCATCCCCCAGGCCAAGGAGGCCCTCAAGATGCTGAACGGCGACAACGAGCTGGGCATCAAGATTCCCTACATCCTCCTGACCAACGGTGGTGGTAAGACCGAGGAGGCGCGTTGCGCGCAGCTCACCGAGGTCCTCGACTGCCCCATCTCCACCGACCAGTTCATCCAGTCCCACACCCCAATGCAGGCATTGGCTGAGTACTACGAGACTGTCCTGGTTCTCGGTGGTGAGGGTCAGAAGATCCGTGAGGTCGCTGAGAACTACGGCTTCAAGAACGTCATCCACCCCAAGGATATCCAGGCCTGGGACCCCACCGTCTCTCCCTGGAGCACCCTCTCCGAGGAGGAGAAGGCCGAGGCCAAGCCCCGCGACTTCTCCCAGGTCAAGTTCGACGCTATCCTGGTCTTTGCCGACTCTCGCGACTACCAGACCGACATGCAGCTCATCATGGATCTCTTGCTGGCCGAGGATGGAAAGCTCCTGACCCGCGCCAAGGACCCTGTCGCTTCCCGCATCCCCATCTACTTCTCGCAGGGTGACTTGCTCATGCCCACCGACCACAAGGGTCCCCCCCGTCTCACCCAGGGTCTTTTCCGTATCTCCATTGAGGCCCAGTACAAGGCTCTCACTGGTGTCGACCTCGAGCGTGTTGTCTACGGTAAGCCCGAGCGCGCCACCTACACCTACGCCGATGAGGTTCTCAAGTCGTGGATGGAGGAGATCCACAACGAGAACAAGCTGCCCGAGAACATCTACATGGTCGGTGACAACCCGGCCTCCGACATCTGCGGTGGTAACATGCACGGCTGGAACACCTGCTTGGTCCGCACCGGTGTCTTCCAGGGCGGTGACAACGACGACAACAACCCGGCCAACTTCGGTGTCTTCCCCAACGTGCTCGAGGCTGTCAAGGCCGCCGTCCGCAAGGAATTGGGCCAGGAGTTCAAGTTCAAGTGGAACCCCAAGGTCAACCCTGTCCTCCACAGCGAGAACGCCTCCGCTGTTGAGTAAACGGGACGCCTACAACCAATCAAAAACAAGGAACCTGGCATCTGGGCTGGGTTCTTTCTTTATCTTCTCATTCCCCATTTTCTCATACATCATGTTTGATTGATCAAGTACATTGATGTTAGACATCTTTTTCATCTTTCCCCCACACCTACCACCATATTTTTACGGCTTTACGGGTTTGGACTACTGATATCCATCGTTGTCGCTTGTCTTGGGCACTTAAAGAACCAGAAAGCAGACCGATTCTTTGTCTCGAGTGTTTTTTGTGTCATGTTATTATTTAGATTGCGATTGATTTTTTTCTCATATGATGAAGATGCAATATGCAAGGCATGCATCAATGAACGGTATCTTTTTTTCTTCTTTAATAACTCCATGTCACTTCAGCTCCGTACTATTGGGTAATGGGAATATCTAGAGTTTCTTAGACTTTTTCTTCTTCCTCCAAAAAATGTCTTCAACAAAGAAAGTCATGACGTGATGTACAGCACTTGACAACCGGGAGCGGTCAGTGTCACACTCACACATACACAGACCGCCCGTTCCGCCCGTTGCATAAAGTTTCTTTTCCCCATTTTGTTAGTTGAACCCATCCATCCCCACGAGGAGAATTCCCGTCAATTCAACCCAACAGGACGGAGCGTCGCAGCCCAGAAACTCAATTCCGGGGCCATGACTCAAGTATCCATTGACTTGTATCATCACCTCAGTATTTATGCTTTGCAGTAACTAAGTGTTTTTCTTGCAGCCTAACAATTGTGAACGTCTGTTTCGTTCGTTGTACCGATTACGCTTGTACGATACGATAGACCAACCGTAGTGTATTGTGTTGGTTGGTATGGTACTTGCAGCCTGGAGTGCTAGGCAACCTTCCAGTTCGGCGGATCTCCTGCCGACCCGACTGATTGACTTAGCTTCCCAATCCGGAGGTGGTCCACGGTGGCCGGGGCATGGCACATTCCCCGAGCGAGTCCCGAAGCGAGAGGTGAATTGTCGAGTCGGGTATATGCGGGCTTGGTGTTTTGGGGTCCGCCGAGAATATCCAGCTTGGCTGATGTTTCGGGTCGGGTTCGTTCTCGATGCCGGATGGACAATTCTGATATGATAGACCACTCAAGGTTTCTCGAACACTGTCAGGGTAACTGGTAACCTGCTCGGCTACGGTGCGATGCTAACTTGCCGCGCGGGAAAAGATTACACTCATGTGCTTGGATGGAGTTCCGGTGGGGCTTTTCTCTGTTATTGGAGGGTGGTGATGAGTGTACGGTTGACTGGTTGAGTAATTTGATTAAGATGAGTGGCGGGTATCGGTTCCTTAGCGATGTCTCCTGCAATCTTCCTTCTGGTTTGTGGCTCTGTGATGGATTGAGGCTCGGGCAAATCGTGGCATGAGTGATGATCATGAGTCTAACTACTAAGTTAACTAATGCAGGCGATGACTAATTATGCTGGGCCTGTAAGTTAGTCCGTCCCGCCCGGGGAATCTGGTAGCTTCGGAGGCGACCCGTGACCGTACTTACTTCGGCCCCGGTTGCAGCTAAGGTATCCATCCGACTCGGGAGTGTGATTTGACGATGGTACTTGCTACATGATCTCGTTCCTGCTTCAGGTCCTACTGCTGATGGGTACGGCCATGAAGTCTGCTGTCGGTCAAGCATATACTGCACTGGACGTGCTGTGCACTGATCGCGTGTTCGAGAGGTTGATAGAAAGAGCACAGCCGATTTCGCTACTTGTAAGCACCTGGGACAAGCTGCGCGCACCTCTTGTCGATCTTCTGATCTGAATGCTCTGTGCTTCAGAAAAAACTCTGCTGTTCCTAGCCTTCTGCTGCGCCCGAGAGAGATTTTCTCAGCTACTATGCTCGGATAACCGCTTGTCACTTGGGGTCGAGTCGCCTATAACTATAACTAAGATAAGGCGGAGAAGCCATTGACCAAACTCCACTGATGCGGATCGATGTTACGATAGGACGATCACACGAAGTGAGTTCGCATCTTGGCGCAGGGTCTAGTGTGTTCGATTCCACATGAAATGAAGAGAGCGCGTGCTCATTACACAGTGAAGGTAGATGAGAGGCAATATTCGTATGTTATCACTTGTTGGGACTCTCCAAGACGAATTCACAATGCTCATGGCAAAGCGATTCACTTTTCCTCAGTTTCCTCTCGCTATCTACCAGATATACCTATAGCGCTGTTGACCGTCCCGCTCCTCGGCCTTGTTGGCCCTTTTATTGAGGAGATGGAGGTAGCCGGCCAACAACGACGTCAACACAATCCCCGCCGCGGCGAAGGACGAAAGCGTGATCCCACCGGGCCGATACTGGGGCCCGTCCGAGGTGGGGAAGAAGTAGGAGCCGTAGATGTTGGACGAGTTGCCGAACAGGTTCACCAGCGCGTACACGATGGCGCGCTTGGTCCGCGTGCGGGGGATCGTACTCGCGATCCACGCCTGCACGACGTTGAACGCCGAGTACGACCCGGCGCACATCAGGAACATCCCGACGTACCGCACCGCCGTGGCGCGCGACGAGATGACCATGATGTTGCCCACGATGTCCACGCACAGGGGCCAGATGATCAGGATCGCGCGGTGGTTGGTGCGGTTCGCGATCAAGGAGTTTCCCAGCGCCGTGAAGAACCCGAAGACGTACACGGGAGCCGTGATGAGGAGGGTGATTGTGTTGTCGAACCCGAGGGTCTTGACGATGGTCTGCAGCAATCCGTTAGAGTCTGATTGTTCGGGGGGGGGGGGGGGGGGGGTTGGATCCTGACGTACGGGGAAGAAGTAAGTCCAGCTTTGGGAGGTGAGTTGGCAGATTTGGATCGAGATCAGCATCCATGCCTTGGGGTCGGTGAGGGCATCTCTCAAGCCCTCCTTGACGGACCCGTTCTCATCGACCTCATCGTTGGCCGCGCGCGCCAGGCGCCATTCGGCGAACCGCTGCTCCTGCTCGTTCAGCCACTTGCGCTGCCCCGAGCGTGGGAAGTCGGGCAGAAGCACCACCGCCAGTAGACCGGCTACCATCGTGCCCGCGCCTTCGATGATGAAGAGCCATCTATGTTGCTTTTATTAGCATCGTCGTATGTCATTGCCTCGCTTTATCTTAGAGGGCAACCGGACAATCACTCACCTCCAGCCAGCGAGACCGCCTTTTCCATTCAGCCCATCCATGATACCCGCGGCAAGCAGGCCGCCAAACCCGTTGGCCACCGTGTTTCCGCAATACACCAACGCTACCCGCACGGCGATCTCCGACGGCTTGTACCAGGAACTAATCAGAAGTCTATGCAGAGGGGTCAGCCACACTACAACAAAGCTGTCATGGACAGGATTCATACAATGCTCCGGAGAAGAACGGCGATTCGGCGAACCCGAGAAAGACTCGCACACACATAATCCCGGCAAAGTTCTTGGTGGCGGCTGTGCAGAGCGAGATGCCGCCCCAGATGAAAATTGCCGTCGGAATGTACCGCGAGGGCTGCAGGCGGGTGAGGAGAATGTTACTCGGGACCTGGCCCAGCAGATACCCGACGAACTATGGCGAGGATTTTATGAGCATATTGACATGCAAGGTTGACACATTCGAGTGCGGCTTACCATAATGGCCACTGCTGTCTGATATTGGGTATCCGACAGATGGAGGTCCTCCTGCATCCCCCCGAGACGGGCATTGGCAATGTTCGAGCGATCGAGGATGTTGAAGATGAACAAGAGGAATAGTGATGAAATCAGGTGGAGATCAATCTTCCGGACCACTGTGCGGGCATTAGCTTGTCCAGACTCCAGCATGAGAAGGAAGGTCAATGGTGCAATCAAACATTTTTTCTCTAGTGCCTGTGTCTCTTCGGCCGATAGTCCTTCGAAGGACTCTGATACCCGGTCATCGTACGGTTTCGTGGTCGATTCTACATGGAATGATGATGCTTTGTCGACATCCGCCATGTTGCTGGTTCAAGAAGGTATGGAAGTTTTGAGCCTCCACAAACCAGATGGAATGACTGGGAATGCAAAGAATCACGCGAGAGCAATGAGCACAAGTAGTCGGGTCAATCGATGAAAGAAATATATAGATAGAAAAACATGCCGGCCTTGGTCACAGCAGAAGGGCATTTACACAGGCACCGACTCAATGGACTAGGGCTTATATACCTTATTTTGGGTAGTATAAGGACACATTTACCCCGGTTCTGATGAGTGCCGCATCAGACAACAACCCGGGGAAATGCGGGACTCGCAATTCGCTTAGCGGCGCATGCGGGGGAAACCCCAGACGCGGGACATTGGCATCTTGGGTTCGTCCATCTCCGCTCTCCGCTGGTCATCATTCAATACGAAAAGTTTAAATCTAGTGGAGTTCATCCTTAGTTCAGCGGATATGTCACTGCCAACAAGTTTTGAGACTGAGCAATGTATTGCACCCGATATGAGCAAGAAAATATGCTTAGACCCAGCTCAATGGCACGGGTACCACACCCCATGTGGGATGGACATCATCTATCTGAATGCCATCATATCTGTCGATCTGAGCTAGAGAGTCCTGTCACGAGTGCATAGAGGCAAGGTCGGCACCGAAACCCGGATCAGATATTTGCCCCGCCCAACTTACCCCTCCATCTCCATCTCCGCTCATTTTCCGCGGAGTTTCCGACGCGTATCCGGCGCGTCGGGTTCTTCTCCACGCGGGAATGCTCCCTAAGCTTTGAAGCTTGGATCAGGTTAGACTTCAGTAGTCGCTCAAGTGACTCGATTTCCGCATGGGCATGAGCTTCGACCGTATCCCCACGGGGAGCCTGCCCCACGGGGGAGAGTGACGGTAGGATCCGTGCGTCATATCCAAGAGCAGCCCTTGGGTTGCTTGGGGTCTCAAGCGTCCTATGCTCCAGTCACTCTGGTCAATGGGGTTATCCTATACGCGGGAATTTTACTACTGCCCTTTTCTGCTCAATCTGCCATTCAAACCGACGCTGAAGATAGTCGGGCACCATGTCCAAGAGCCTTGCAGACCATGTCGAGGATATTGCCAATCCACCTATCCAGAAGGGCAAACCGGATATATCAAAAGAGCATCGAGACCCCAACTCCATCGACCCAGTAGTACGGGCGAGGGTGGTGCGGAAGATCGATTGCTTCGTGATTCCCTTCATCTGCATCACTTACCTGATCACGTACATAGACAAGGCCATGCTGGGATATGCAGCTGTCTTCGGGTTGAAAGAAGATCTGCACCTGAAGGGAGATGAGTATAGCTGGCTAGGTAAGTTGATCACCTCTCTAGCCACTTCATCCATACTGACTTGAAGAATGGCAGCGAGTATGTTCTATTTCGGATACTTAGCGGTATGTCAATCATCTCAAGTTTCTGCCTAGGCACATGGCTGGGTTGCTGACATGATGCAAACCCACAGTTCGAATCTCCATCGAGTCTGGTGATGCAGAAGCTTTCAGTGCCGAAATGGCTGGCAGCGAATATGATCATTTGGGGTGGGATCACAATGGCTCTCGCAGCATGCCATGGGTTCCAGAGCTTTTTGGCCCTGCGGTTCCTGCTCGGAGGCTTGGAATCGTGCTCCACTCCGGCCTACCTTCTGATCACGGCTACTTGGTATACGATCGAAGAGCAGCCCATTAGGATCGGGTGGTGGTCGACCTTTCTGGGCGTAGCCAACTCCTTTGGTGGTCTGTTAGCGTTCCTGATCGGGCATATCCACGGCTCTCTCGCGTCCTGGCAGTACCAGTTCATCATTCTTGGCGCAGTCTCGGTGGGATGGGGAGCCTTCATGATGTTCACGCTGGCAGACGGGCCGTATGATGCGTGAGTCTGTTTTGCACCGATGCACGGTTGTTTCTTCACGCTCACGCGTCTCTCCTTAGTTCGTGGCTGAGCGAAGAAGAAAAGCAAGTTGTGGTCAGGCGCCTTGGTCCCGCCCATTCGGGGGAGCCTGTGCACGAGATCAAGCGGTATCAGATCTGGGAAGCACTGACTGACCCCAAGACGTGGCTGTTCTTTCTCTGCGGCGTGTGCACCCAGGTCGTGAACGGGGCCGCCAGCAACTTCGGTAGCCTGATCATCGAGGGATTCGGGTACTCGAACCTCGTGACGACCCTCTTCCAGATCCCGTACGGGATGGTCATTCTCGTCTCCAACGTCTCCGCGATGTATCTCCAGCGCTGGCTGCCCGGCCAGAAACGCTGCCTCGTGGCTTGTCTCTACGTGTGTCCGGCCGTGGCAGGGGCAGTGGGACTGCATACGATATCCAGGACGCATTCCATGGCGTTGCTGGTGTGTTACTGGGTGAGCTATTTATTATATGGCTATTTCATACCGCAAGAAAAAGAAAAAGAAAATGCTAATGCTAATGCTATCTAGTTGACGAGTACATACACCGCCTCGTTCGCGATGATCATGTCGCTCATCACGGCCAACACGGCGGGCGCAACGAAACGGTCGACGGTCAACGCCGTTTTCTTTATCGCGTACTGCGTGGGCAACATTGTGGGTCCGTTCAGCTTCAAGAGTAACGAGGCACCGGCGTATACGTCGGGCATTGTGACGATGCTGGTGGCGTACTGTGTGGAGATTGTCCTTCTGCTTGTCTTTGCGGCTTACATGGCGTGGCTCAACAAGCGTAGGGATACGGTCGTGGCTGCTGAGGGAGTGCGGTTAGATGATGCTGCGGAGCAGGTGGATTTGACGGATAAGGAGAATATGTACTTTCGGTACTCTTATTAGCTATAGGGTCCGATTGTTCTTATGGGCTAAGGAGAATGGTCGTGTCTCATATAAGTGAGGTATTCCTGCTGGGTTGGAGGAGGAGAAGCGTGCGCATAGTAGAACTGTCATGATATGCTTCTGTTGATCGAAACAGGCCGAACACGACAACACTTGTATTCCTAGCAGAGACTACGATGTCAATGCTTGTTCTGATCTCATAGCTACTTACCGTAATTGCCATAGTGGCAAGACCCACGTCCTTGCCAGTGAAACCGAACCGAGTATCAAAGCGGAGGCTAGCTGCTGTACCTTGGAAAATAAAAGCGGGGAGGAGTTGGGGAGAAGAAGCATAGAGTGGGATGGTGGATTGGCTCTCGCCGCGTTCCATGAATTCCGCTGCGCGCTTTTCCGTCGCAGTTAGGGCTGCGGGGGGCGGAAATCCGACCGCAGACCGCCCACCCACTTACTCTTTTCGGTTGCGGAGTGAGTATACTAGGTACTGTACCTATCTACCTAGCACATACATTACCTCTGTGAACTCGACGCTCCAGCCAAAAAGTTATATTGCAAGGCCCCCTTCCCCACCTCAATTCGATCTCCAACAAGCATTTTTTTTTTCTTCTTCTCCCCCAACCAGTCACCATGTCCCTCCCCACGCACTTCACCCTGAACACGGGCGCCGCCATCCCCGCCGTCGGCTTCGGCACCTGGCAAGCCAAGCCCCTGGAAGTCGAGCAGGCGGTCGAGGTCGCCCTGCGGCAGGGCTACCGCCACATTGACTGCGCGGCCATCTACCGCAACGAGACGGAAGTGGGCGCCGGCATCCGCAAGGCGGGCGTGCCGCGCGACCAGATCTTCATCACGGGCAAACTGTGGAACACCAAGCACTCGCCCGAGGACGTCGAGCCCGCGCTCGACAAGACCCTGCAGGACTTGGGCGTCGAGTATCTGGACCTGTATCTGATGCATTGGCCTGTGTATGTCCCCCGGCCTCGGCCTCAGCCCCTCACCTCCTCCTCCCCACTCCCGCAATCAGCAACGCCCCACACTAACACACGGACATTATGAGAGTATAGGGCCTTCAAACCCAGCCCCAAATGGTTCCCCCTGGACCAAAACGGAGTATTCGAGCTCTCCCCCACCGACCCGATAACCACCTACAAAGCAATGGAGAAGCTCCTCGCCACGGGCAAGGTGCGCGCGATCGGGGTGTCCAACTTCACGACGGCGCGGCTCGACGACCTCCTGGGCAAGGTGGAGGTCGTGCCCGCGGTGAACCAGATCGAGGCGCACCCGTACCTCCAGCAGCCGGAGCTGCTGCAGTACTGCCAGCAGAGGAACATCCTGGTGGAGGCGTACTCGCCGCTGGGCAACAACCAGAGCGGGGAGCCCCGCGCCGTCGACGATCCGGTCGTGCAGGCGGTTGCGGAAGAGGTCGGGTTGGATGCCGGGCCGGTGTTGCTGAGCTGGGGCGTGCAGCGCGGCACGGTCGTGCTGTCGAAGAGTGTCACCCCCGCGCGGATCCGGGCGAATCTTCACGTCAGACGGCTGGGGGAGGAGGTGATGCGGAGGCTGGATGCGCTCGAAAAGGGGAAGAGGTTTAATTTCCCCGCTAGGTGGGGGTGTGATATCTTTGGGGAGGTCGGGGAGGATGCGGTGCGTCGGGCTGCGCTGGAGGCTGCGGAGGAGAATTTGGTGAAGTTTAATGTTTGATTTTGGTCTTGGTTCGTGCTTGATAGACTTTGTTTTGATGGATGGAGGTACTTTCATAGTCGTGTACTGCGGTTGCTAGCTATTCTGGTTGTTTGTCGGTGGAATTGACAGGTTAAGAAAAGCTATTGCTTTGCAGGGTAAAGTGTAAATGCTTCATAAAGTACAGTTCTACGAGACAAGTTCCGTAGGGAAGGGATTAGTCTTTATTAAAATTTTGACACTATTAAGCTATTGAGCTTGACTGAATAATCGAGCAATATCAGGCGATATTAGTAGATAAAACATGCTTAGTAAAGCCCCCTTCATCCTCATACGCCGTGCGCCTGTTCGTCCGCGCAATATCACATGCAAATCCCCTGCCTTCCATACAATCACTTCAACTCAGCAGACGACTGGCTACCCCGACTGTCCGATCTCATTCTTTTATCCTCCTTCTTCATGAAGATATCCGCTCTGTTCGGCAGTGATTTGGTTTCAGGGCTGTCGACGACACGAAGGATATCACACAGTCGGGCGAAAGTCTCGGATGATATTTTGTTACGTAGAGACCAGTCGAGAATATCAGTGCGGAACTGAGAGATGGGGTCTGCTTGCTGTATTAGTAAAGTATCTGTTTCCGGATTTGAAGGAGGGCTACCTCGACTGGACTGGAGAGACATTGGAGATGAGTCGGAGGAAGAAGGATGGGTAGAAGCAGAGGAGGGGCTCGAGGCTTGTTTATCGGTGGCCTTTTCGTCCAAAGCTGCTTCATTGGACTTCTCGTGGGAGGGCATGTTATCGGTGATTGCGTCGTCTGAGCGCATTCTTTCAGAGGACATCTTGTCAGAAGACGCTTTTTCAGAGGACATATTTTCAGAAGACATCTTGTCGGAGGACATCGTGTCAGAGGACGTCTTGTCGTAGAACATCTTGTCAGAGGACATCTTATCAGAGGACATCTTATCAGAGGACCTTTTCTCAACCGAATTTCCGTCGCAGAGCAGTTTCTGGACAGGTTGCCTGGTGGATGGTCGCTTCTTGCGGTACTGCTCACGAGAGAACTGGCCCTTGGGGTGGTTCTTGGGGCGCTGATTCTTGGGTTGTTGATTCCCGGGGTGCTGATTGCCGGGGTGCTGATTTTCAGAGTCTGGTGTTCTGGCAGCAAAGGTCGTGTTTGCGACAGGGTGTACGTGAACAGACAGGTTGTGGAAATGCTGAACGTTGACAGTCACCTGATTCACACGTGTGACATTCACAGGCGGCTCGCGACTCCTTGAGTAAGTGGAAGCGTAGCTTTGGCGGTGGGGCGGTGGCCCAGCTGAGCAAGGCCCATTGAGCGGAGGTTCTTCGTACCGCTGATTATTGTGAGGGGGGCCGTCGAAGTCTTCGCCATCAAGCTTGTCGTCATCGAATTCGTCGTCATCGAAGGAAGGTTGATCTGAGTATTGATCATTAGAGGGTGGCTCATCGAAGGACCGATCATCGAAGGACCGATCATCGAAGGACCGATCATCGAAGGACCGATCATCGAAGGGTGGCTCTTCCGAGTACTGATACTCGAAAGATGGCTCATCGAAGTATCGGTCATCAGGACACGGCTCATGACAGTACTGATCTCCAGAAGGCGGTCGATCATAGTACTCTTCTCCATAAAATGGGTGGTAGTTGGATGGATCATAAGCTGGTTCTTCATAGTATGGGTCTTCACAATCTGGCTCATCGTAGTGCTCGTCATTGGAATATGGCCCTTCATAGTAAGGGTCGCCATAATCCGGCCCATCGTAGTAAGCGTCACTGTAATCCGGCCCATCGTAGTATGGATCACTGTAATCTGGCTCATCATAGTATGGGTCGCCGCAATCTGGCTCATCATAGTACTGGTCATCATAGCACGGCTCGTCGCAGTCATCGAAGGGCTCGTCATCGTAAGACATCCTGTCACAGACTGCTCAGCTCTGCTGAGTGTATCAGTTGCTTAAGCGTCGGAGATACAAGCTTTTATCATAGAACAGGCAGAGTGTAAGAGGGCCGATACGGGTACGAATGAGTGGCTAGAGTCAACTACTCGACATAAATGGCAGTAGCGATGCTTGTCATTGGCAATAGAATTGACAGCGTAGTATAGCTTGTATGGATAAGTCTGGGGTGTTTTCCTGACTTGGGTTATCTATACTGGTACGTGTTCTTGAACATCATACCTATATTCTCAACATCAAATTTCCTCGTACGGACTCGAAAATAGTATACACTACATACAGAAGTATCCTAGCATAGATGCTCACTTACTAGTAGAGCATAGGATGCACCTGCTTTCCAAAAATCATAAACACTTGAACAGAGAGTACATGGACTCCATACGTCGTATCGCTTGTCCATCTTGCTAATGCCGTGCTAAGCTATCGACTGTAGATAGTTGTTGTATCAAGTGTGTAATGACTAGGCTAGGACATATCCATGCACAAATTGACTGAGCTGATCCACGGACACCACGTGACATACCAGCCCAGGGAGAGAGCGGCAGCGGCAGCAGCGCGGCGGCACTTTGCGGAAACCATGGCGGAAAAGCAGCGGATTTCCCCACGCCTCGGTTGTTGGTTTTCCTCCAACCCCTCCCTCCTCATTCGAATCCACTTGCTCACATCCCATGACTGCAATGTCTCCACCTCAGCCTTGGATGCTACGACCGCGGGGTACATCTCCGAATTGATCCTCTGATGCAATCGGTCCGGAAAATGGCCGACCGACAGAATCCGGCCAAAGTCCTGCGGCCATCCAGGTACCAGGACAACGGCATAAGATAGAAGAATAAACGTACCTCTTGCCTCACTCCATTTCTGTCATTTTTGTTGTAAACCAAGCACTCATCATGGCATCTGCAGTATTACAGTCTGTGGTGCCAACGCCAACTCCTTCACCTCCAACCAGTCTGACTCCCGTGAGCGTTGCTTCGCCAGCCACCTCTGTCAATGAGCTAGATAGCTTGGAAGAGGAATTCGACACAATAAATCATCTACTTCAGACAAGAGCAAAAGGACGTCTTGGTCATGAGCCTATTGTCGCCTATCCGTCATCTGGCACCAACTACGTCTACTATAGCCCCCAACAGGTGAACCGCACGTTAACCCGTGAATAGCTTCTCAATCGCTAACACCTGATTCATTAGCTTAATACCTTTGTCGAAACAGCAGCAGTTCATTATGCCAAGACCATTCCCCAGCGATGTTCGTCCGAAGACCCAGTTCAGGTGGTCGGCTTGTTGGGCCCCTCGGATTTTGAGTACTTGATTACATTGCTCGCTCTTTCAAGACTAGGACATACGGTGCTCCTGCTATCCACTCGCATTGCCGAAGATGCCTACGTCAGCCTCGCCGAAAACACCAAGGCCTCATATCTCGTCGCCCACACCACCTTCCTCGCCATGGGTGATAAAGTGGCACAAAGAACGGGCATCAGCCTTCAGCAATTACTGAGCCGTGAAGACTATGACAACACTACCACAGGAACAGTGGCGCTACCATCAGCTCATTTGGATGGGCAAATCGAGAATAAGCATGTTTGTTGGATCATCCATTCCAGTGGCTCAACAGGACATCCCAAACCCATATACCAGACGCATGCCGGTGCTCTCAAGAACTACGCCAATAACTTCGGCTTATGCGGATTCATCACCCTGCCCCTCTTCCACGCTCATGGAATTAGTTGCTTGTTCCGTGCAGTCCACTCACAGAAACTCATATATCTTTACAACGCCGAGCTTCCCTTGACCGCCACTCATCTTCTCACAACCCTCCAGGAGCACCAAGAAATCCAGGTCCTTTACGCCGTCCCATACGCTCTGAAACTGTTATCGGAGTCACCTGAGGGTCTTCAAGTGATGGCTCGGCTAGAGCTGGTGATGTTTGGCGGTTCGGCTTGTCCGAAGCCTATCGGTGACAAGCTGGTACAGAATGGAGTTCGCCTCGTGTCCCATTACGGTACCACCGAGACGGGCCAGTTGATGACCTCCTTCCGCGAACGTGATGACCTGGACTGGGACTTTGTCCGCCCTGGTTCAAGCTTATTGCCATATGTTCGTTGGGAGGAGCAGATGCCTGGCATTTACGAACTTTGTGTCCTCGAAGGCTGGCCGTCTAAAGTAGCCAGCAACCGACCGGACAATTCATATGCTACGAAAGACCTCTTCGAGAAACATCCGACAACTCCTAACGCCTGGAGGTACTACGCCCGTCTGGACGACACACTGGTGTTGGAAAATGGCGAAAAGGCCAATCCCCTTGTGATCGAGGGTGTTGCACGCAACGACCCCAATGTAGCTGAGGCCATTGCGTTCGGAGCAAATAAGCCTCGTCTGGGTCTATTCTTGATACCCGCGGGAAGTTCTCCTTGTAGAACCGCAGAGGAGCTCATCGAGGCTGTGTACCCTGCCATTGAGCGGTGCAATGCAGAGTCCCCGGCCTACGCCTACATCTCGCGGGACATGGTCAAGGTGCTGCCACCGGACGCAGAATTTCGGAAAACGGATAAGGGCACAGTTATTCGCTCAGCCTTTTACCGAGACTATCAGGATCAGATCAACGAAATTTACGATACCGAGGAGGCTACAGGGGACCAGGTTCTTGAAGGGGCCGATCTTCTCGCATTTCTTCGGGAGCAGCTGCTCGCAGTTGCACCGTCTATCGATTCTTCCATACTTGAAGAACAGACCGACTTGTTCAGCTTGGGCGTGGACAGTCTGCAGTCCATTCGACTACGCAGCGCTATCATGAGAATGCTCGATCTTGGGCAACAGAAGTTATCTCAAAACTTTGTATTCGAGAATCCTTCCCTCAAAGCCATGGCCGATGAAATCACTCGTTTGCGTCTGGGCCAAGAGCCCAAAGCTGAGATTCCGGTCGAAGAACGCATGCAAAGCTTAATCGAGAAATACAGTACCGACTTCAAAATTCACACTCCTGTTTTGAGGGAAGCCGAGGCTGAACATGTTGTTGTGACAGGGGCCACAGGCTCACTGGGCGCGCATGTCATTGCTCAGCTAGCCGAACGCAAGGATGTCCACACCATCTATTGCTTAGTCCGTGCTGAATCTCGCTACTCAGCTCTAAAGCGAGTTCGTCAGTCACTACGAGCGCGGGGACTGTCTCTCGCTCAAGCTCATGCCGCTGAGCACAAGATAGTCGCTCTGCCTTCAGACCTCTCAGACCCAACTCTAGCTCTTGACGGAGCGACTTATGAGCAGTTGGTGAATTCAGTAACGGCTGTCATGCATTGCGCATGGTCTGTCAATTTCAACTGGTCCCTGGAAAGCTTTGAGGCGAGCTGCATAGCAGGCACTCGGCACTTACTGGATCTCTGCCTCAATGTGCGCAGCCCCAAGCCGGCGCGCTTCTCATTCTGCTCATCCGTAAGCACTGTGGCCCGAACTCCAGGCAATTGGGTTCCAGAAGCCCTGCCCGAATCGCTCTCTTACGCACAGGGAATGGGTTACGCTCAGTCTAAGCTCGTCACGGAGCATATCGTCAACCGTGCAGCTCAGTCAACGGGCATGACGGCTCGCGTTTTGCGATCGGGGCAAATCATCGCGGACTCTGTTCATGGCATCTGGAATGCCACCGAAGCAATCCCTATGATCTTCCAAAGTGCGGAAACGATCGGAGCTCTCCCACAACTAGATGATATTCTCTCGTGGACACCCGTGGATGTGTTGGCAGCAAGTGTTATTGACTTGACTCTTGCGCCGGTGGCAGGGGATGTACTCAATGTCACTAATCCGAATCTCAATCACTGGGGGCTAGACCTCCTTCCGCTCCTCCGCCAGGCTGGTTTGAAGTTTGAAGCACTGTCTCCTCGCGACTGGGTCCATCGTCTTCGGCAATCGAATCCAGATCCCAGCATCAATTCACCTATCAAGTTGGTGGAGTTCTTCGCCAGCAAGTATGACAAGGAGACGCCTAGCCGGGTTCTTCTCTACGACACTAAGAACGCCCAAGCGGCTGCTTCGGCGTTGCGTCAGGCCAGAGGGCTTACCCTCGAGCTGGTCGATCGATTTCTGTCATATTTCCGCACCCAATGGGCAAAGTCGGCTCCAGAAACACCCCGGGAGGTTGTTGTGCTGACTGGTCCTTGCGGCTGCGGTAAGAGTACTGCCGCCCAGGCTTTGGCGCAACGGTTTAATATCCCCGTTATCGAGGGCGACGACCTGCATTCCCCAGCGGCGCGTGCCAAGATGGCAAACGGGACTCCTCTAGAGGATCAGGATCGGTGGGATTGGCTAGCACATATTCGCGGTGCAGTCATGGATCGGTTGCAGCACTCGACCGTGCCCGCCGTGGCAGTGACCTGTTCTGCATTGCGCACGGCTTACCGCGATGAGCTGCGACGCCTTTCGGATTTGTTTGATTTCCCTGTCAGTGTCACATTCGTGCTTCTTTCGATCCGTGACGGGGAGCAACTCAAGGAGCGAGTAGCCGCTCGTTCGAAGGTAGAAGCCCACTACATGCGAGCTACAATGGTGGACTCTCAGCTTAACACATTGGAAAGCCCGGGTCTATCGGAAAGCGATGTGATTGTCCTAGACTCGAGTCGCTCAAAGGAGAAAATGATTGAGGATGTTGAGAAGACTGTTGAGGGAATTCTCTCTGCATGAACTCTGGTTAGAATAGAGCTACGCATATACAATGTTCAAATCGGAAACCACGTCTATTCACTAGTGTACATGAAAATGATCCTTCTGTTAGCGCAGCATTCTTCATCTATGAGAGAGTTGATGATCGACATCAACTCACTTGAAAACCGCCAACTCCTCTCGAACATTCAGACGCGAAATCCCCGGCAGCAAATCCTCCCTGAATCGTACCGGGTTTTCAAAGACCATGACCACGTCCAATCCCCCAAACTGGAAATAAGAGATCTCATCTCCTTTCCTCACCCATTGGCCCTCATGCACGGTCATCACCACCGACGAGATCTGTGCCATCCCAATCAGCACCACCGCCACCCGACCAAAATCCTCCGTCTGGATCACAATCACTCCCCGCGTCTGACACCATTGACAGCCCGCATTGTCCGGGGCATCGAGGATGCGCGGGCCCTTACACGGCATCCTGTCGCGTCTCACCTCCTCCTTGGCATCCCTCTGCAGCCCGCGATCCGGCCGCAGGCCCCGCCCTTCCTTCTTCTTCGCGATCTGCAAATACACCTGATCCTGAATATTTCTCACTTGCGAAATCCTCCCGGAGACGGGGGCATGCTGCCGATGATAATCCGCCGGCCCGAGACAAGCATGCACAAAGCTGCCACCCCCGTACACCTCCTTTGCCCTGGAGATCCCCTGCAACAACCGATCAACCGGCCACACCACCGACTTACAATTCACCATCGCTGTCGTCACCATGGTCGTGGTCGGGGGAACCATCACCTCCCCCGCCCGAGTGAGGGTCGACCATCTCTCGACCACTGCATCCGCCGCACACACCACGACGGCCTCATCCCCGGGCGCCGCCACCGGCCGTACGGCATCCACATCCTTCCACCGCCGCCCAAACCAGTGATTAAACGACCGCCACCCGCCCGCGGGCTCCTCCCACCCCCCGGCCTCGCTGTTGTAGTGCTCATTCAGATAGAAGGTATACAGCGAGGCCGCCGACTCGCGGGAGTGGAGGAACTGGCCCTGCTGGCGGGCAAAGCAGACGAGCCAGTAGCTGAGCCAAGTGAGGTCGGTGGCGGAGGCGGTGGGCTGGAAGGGGGTCTGCCAGCCGCGCAGCGCGGGCTGGTCGATCACCCAGTAGAAGACGACGATCTTGTTCAGGAGCTCGTCGCCCGTGGTGGTCACGCGCGGCACCCACCGGAGCAGTGCGTCGGCGAAACAGAGGAAATCGTCGAGCGAGCGGATGCCCTCGCGCGCCATCTCGTGGGCGCCGCCGTTGTGCGGGTACAGCGCCGTGTTGATGGCCGTGTGGAAGGCGGTCGTGCGGTCCCGGTCCCGGTGGATGTAGTCCCGGAGGTCGCGGACTAGGGGCTCGACTGGGTGGTAGGTTGTTGTTGCTGTGATGGTCATTTTGTGGGGATTGGGGGGGGGGGGGTATTTTGAAGAATAATGAATATGGATGGGAATGGTCGGTTGACAGGAAATCAGACCAAGGGAGATTTGGATCAGCCGATTGTCGAAGAGGAAAAAGACTGGCAGGCTTTTATGCACTGGATAGTACATCAGACATCATATCTCTCTCTCAACGGATGTACTGTACTGAACTGAACTCTGTTGCTGTCTATGATTCATGTTGTTGTATCTCGAGCTTCGGACCTAGGGCCAGTGTATTTTTCAATTCACATGTGAGTTCCACCGAAGGCCAAGCGCGCCTTATCCCCCCTGAAAGCTTGTATTCAAGTGGGTCCTACTTTATTTAGATGGGGGCAGGAATTCTAGAAAACTATAATTGTGACGTCCCAGGTTTGCTATCCGAAGGAGCCGAGATATTGATCGCACTGCGGGTTGCTCCTGATATGACCCGTGATACTGTGAATAGGCTTTTTTTTTCTGTGGAATGTGTAAGAATCAGCATACGAGATCCTAATGAAGGACACGACTCTACCTGAATGACTGAAAGGCTCTGAAGTACGGAAAAAACAGTTGTAGAGTTGTAGAGCTGCCATGACCCCATTTCTTGAGGCCATGGTAAAGCCAGGCCGTTCACCGCCCGCCACAGCCATGTTTCTATCCAGTAGTTCCACGCTCCGTAACTGAACTCATCACACATCCACATCCCTAACACCAGTCCTCAAAAGCCATCTGGTTCCTTCCAAATCTGCGACCCAGCATCTCAGCCGTTCTCTTGGGGATCCTCCGAGCAGCCCTCTTAGATAGGCGTCGCTGATATTGAGCTTTGCAGAGCTCGCCCACGTCGACCACCTCACGCGAACAACGGTGTGTGCGATTCCACTATATTGGCGACGGCGAGCATGAAGAGGCATAACATGACTGGCTTACGAGACTGATAAGCCGTGCTTGTGATGAAGTAAGTAGGCGAAGGTGCCAGTGTTCAGTCCTGTCTCAAGACCTAATACCAACAGTACCCATTCGAAACTCCTCATGTCGTTCTATCGCGCCCATGATGCAATCTGGATTGAGGTAGTCGTACATGTCGATGGCAAGAAATCAAAAATACTGCACCAGACGGAAGACGAACGATGATCTCCCGATGCGATGTTGTCGGACGGAACACAGGGAGCGGAAGAGACCCGAGCGACCCGAGCCTGAATGGTTCAGCAGGATTCTTGATACTGCAACTGAGGTATCATGTACACTATCACCTCACTGTTCTACGTAAAAGGGCTCTTCGTGCTACAGTGCTCGGACTCCAGAGATCGAAATGCACAATGGACAATGCGCAGTGCTTTGAAACCCACGGATCACATGTGGCAGTAGGGCATTAGACCTCGCAGTTCTTTCGTCGAGATAATTCGAGTGATCCATGCACTGGGCCCTCTGCGTCGGAAACCACACCTAGTCAGTGACATCCAATGGCTCTAAGCCTCCGAATCAACGGGTCACGTCCGGCAACCCTTGCACTACAGGCACCACATCCTCAGCCCCTATCCCTCCCGATAGATACGCCAGCTCATTCGCCATCAAGCCCGTAAACACTTCTGGTGGCAACCAACGACGCGCGACTAATTTCAGGAGCCGCATCGCACGGAGTGCCCACACCCACGCGGTGCTCATCTGGGACAGGCTGTGCGTGATGTACAGGAAGTTTTTCTTGACTCGGGTCTTCACACCGGGGCTCGGAAGGGTCCAATTGCACAGGTAGATGAGGCCTGCGGTGAGGCAGGGATGGATGACGGAGATGGTTGCCGTTCTCTTGAGACGGATCATTAGTTGTGAATGCTTGGATATAGACTTATCATCTCAGCCAGCGTACCAGAGAATAATGTTTCTCAAGCTCTTTCGGTGTCGCCGTCAACGCTTCGGCGGATCGGGTGCATTCTTCCAGGTGGGTACAATCCACACCCCTTTGATTATCGGCCTGTGGAGAGCGTGTCTGCCGTGAGATGAATGGACGATGGAGGAGGATGTTCAGACCGTGGTAGTGGACGCTAGGCCGCGGGGCTTTTCTGCGCTTCGCGCACTTCCTTGGCGATAGCTGACGGGTTCTGCTCGGAGCGGGACATCAGGGCGATGTTCCATCCGAGGCTTGCCAGCCAGAGGGCAAGGGATTTGGTCATGAGGGAGCCAACGCCCACGATGATAATGTTGCGGTTCTCGCTGATAGTCATGTTAACGCTGGGGAAAAGGTGGAATCGGAAATGCCTGGTGATAAAAGCCAGAATGCACAATCGAGTGCTTATAGTCCAGTGTTCTTGTGGGACAAGCCTTGTCCAATGCCCTGTCGATGAATGTGGTTTGGAGTGCGGTTCAAGAAAATCTTGTAGTGTTGGCAGGCCCGGCAGGTGCGTGCGGACTCTTTTATCCGTGGTCTGAGGGAAAACTCTTCAAACACCTCTGTCTATAGTCGGGGAGTTTTGTCATCGAGATGATGGACATTCTTCCGTTGAGTTCTGCTTCGTACTGTCAAGATCCACAAGATTCATCACGCATCCTCTTTTTAAACCAATGAAACACAGTTGACCGAGAGCACGGAAGGGCATTATCCGGGCCAGCAAATCCCGCGCCCCAAGGCCCAAGATCCAAGCCATAGATAAACTTCGTGGCAGCCATTGATTTCCTAATGTCACCTCAGTGACTTTTTTTCTTTTTTTTTTTTTTTTCTTTTTTCCACAAAATGGCCATCCTACATTTAGTCCTCTTCCGATTCAAACCCGAGGTTTCTCGGGGCCGTCGGCAAGCCGTAAGAGTGCCATCGACCCACCTGTGACCTCTTCTGACATGCCAGTTTCTTCAAGAATTTACGGCTCTTCCTCAAAAGTGAAAGGATGAGTCAGAAAGGCCGTATATCAAAAGTATACGAGGCGGAGTGGAATGTACCGCAGAAGTGTCTTCAGTATGATGCCAGAGTGTCCAGCGTCGCATTCATACGAGTACTAATAGCTGGTGTAGGATCACAGCCACGTCTTCATCGTCGAGTTTGACTCTCTGCAGGACCGCAAGTTTTATAAGAACGTGGATCCCATTCATGCCGAGTTTGCCTCGCGAATCATCCCACTCGTGAGCTTGACGAAAATGGCGGTATTTGAGGAAAGTGACTTCGTTGGCATATAGGGCTTTGGAAGACCCGCAAGGAGATGTATTGTAATAATGAAATTGACATACAAGAGTCCAGAGTAATAGGGAAAATCGAGCTATTTCGTCCAAAAGGTGCCTCTGAAGCTAGTGAGATATCCTGTAGCTGAGAAGTAAATGACATCATGTCACATCGGCAAATGTACAGGCAGGTACTGTCCGGGTTCCAGAAGCGATCGCTTGTGTGATATCGCTACTGATAACAACATTCTCGTGCTCTATCAACCCGTGGCCAATTCCAGTAGGTCCGAGCACGAAACTGCGGCTAGTCATGCAGGATGGAGATGATCAGTGATTTGTTCGGGCGCCCAAAAGAGGGGTCCGTTTAATTGATTTGGGCCAAATCAGTGGCTGCAGCGATGGCCCTGCGGGGAAATCAAAAACGGCGACCTTGTCGTCTACCACATGCTCTGTATTCAAAGAAGTGTATGTGGAGTCTCTGACCGTACAGAAATGAACGAATGTGATAGAGACCAGCCGTTTCTGGTCTACAGCAGGGGACTGAGGCCAGAGATTCTGAAACTCGGTAGTCTTTGTCTAGACCCCGCAAACCCCGTGGGCGATTCACAAAAGATTTACCAATGTCCGATCAAGTGGGTGATTTGGTCTTTTGTAGTTGGGACGGGATCCAGTCAAGCGCAGAGCTGATTCGCGATAGGGACGCAGAACTTTCGCCATGGATGAGCAGCTCTGGTGATGAGATTCACTGCACCTTAAATCTGAGTGCTTCACGTGGATGGCTTGCAGGCGCGAACTGCGCTGATATCAGCCCTCAGGACACTGGCGAGGACAGCAATGTTGGGGTCCGACTCGAAGGAGAGCAGGGCCGACGAGTCACGATTCAGAGGTAGGATAAAGCCCACCGCACCATTCCTCCGTGAACTGACATTCTCAATCTGACCAGACCAGGGTTGTTCCTCGAACAAGTGATCCTACCGTCCGCAGAGGCAAAGCGATGGCTCGCTACGCAACTGACCGTCTCGCGCACGATGCACTACCTCAGCCGCGCCATCCTCGGCACTGCTCGCCATCCCCGGGTATGGTTGGTGACGGGGCTCCAGTACATCAGCAAGGCTCGTATAGAGGCTGGTTGGTCGCATTCGCCTCATGCATCAACGGGGATTCCTGGATTGACTTTAGATCCCACAGTGGCTGCACTGACCGGCTTAGCCGATGCAAGTGGCCAAGGTCCACACGTGGGTATCAAGGCAGGAGGATCGACAGGTGACGACACGGAGAAGATCTGGGCCGCCCAGTTTGCGGAATTGAAAATGAACTTTCGTCCTCGCGACTTAGCCACTGTCAGACTCCCGGAGGAGATCCAACTGCGTCAGTTCAGTCCGCTGGGTGGAATGGGGTTTCAAGGCCATGAGCCCGTCCCGAGCCAGGAGATTGCAACAATCGAAGGTCTGGCGGGGCAACATGGAGATGAAGAGCAGGACGGAGGTGGTGCATTTCCCGGAATGGAATGCGAGGATTGCATACTCTATGAAGAACTACTAGAGCAGGTGGAGAGTCGGAAGGGGGGGCGATGAAAGCAACATTTGTGTGTCACCGTGGTTACACACTGGTTAGTCTTCTACTGATCGTATGAATTTGGTAGGATCGAGCAGATGGGTATCTAGCATGGAGTATCGGTTTCTCAAGAGTAGTTACATCGTGCCATGTAGGTGCAGCTGAATACGGACACGATGTAGGCGCAACTTGAGTGAGGGCAAGAGCATAGACGCTCATTTTTGCCTGGACCCACCGTAATAGTAAACGGCCATGTAAGGAATATATTAGCAGGAGTCACAACCTTAGCCTTCGGATTAGCCGCGTTCTCCACTGGGTGCGCAGGTCATCTTACAAAATGGATTCTAATGAGACGGTGTCAAAGAAGATAGGTAGGGATTAGTCTCTCACCGAAGTTTCAGAATATCGAGTTCAAAACATCACGGGCTAACCAAATATCTAGTCGAGCTCGATCAGAAAAAAATAATTGATCGACGCATGAGTAAGTAGGCTAGTATCCGGTGTGAGATCTTATGCATTGCATGCCGCGGATCTTCTGCTTGCTTATAGAGGTGAGAGGGTTCCGAGCCACTGCCCCAGACTGGTCTGGTGCGGGGCAGACACAGGATGGAATTTTTCTCCTTGGCTGGGCTTAAGCCGCGAGAAGGTAAATTACAATAGTGAAAGTGTGTTACGTAGTGTATAAACTTCTCTATACTTGTAGAGATAACAAGGTATCAGTGCTTTGGGTTTTTGTATAGATCTCAACTTGTCCCCTTCTTCTCATTCTTCTGTTTCTTTCGCCTTTGCTTTTTTTTTTTTTTCGTTTACCTCTCTTTTCTCACTGTGGACTTATCAATGTATCCTGAACTATACCGAATGTATGGGTACGAGGTTAGTTCCTTCTTCGACCTTCGACTCGAGAGGAGCTTGTGCACGTCATGCTTCATCATTCCCGTCGACGACACTCCCTGACCAGCGCTGAGATCAGACCTTTAACGTAATGGGCCATCCTTTGCTCAGTTACCTGGAGTGGGTTTTTCCCATTCAAGCTGTCTGGTAGCTTCTAAGCCTAGTTCAACTCGAAAAGGTTAAATACCTGTCATTCACCCTTGGTCTACCACAAATAGAATTGTCTTCTGCATCTTGATAAGATACTTCGTACGTTCTGTGCGGAAGACAATAGCAACATGAGCCATTATACGATCGACGTGGAGAACCAGCGTGGTGCCAACACGGCCTATGCAGTCATGATGGACACCCCAGATTTCAGTGGTGACCACAAACCGTGGTTGAATGTCTGGTACACCGCATTCGTCCCCTTCCGTGGAAGTTTTAGCGTTGAGACTGGTGAGGACTTCTACGCCTGTAAGTTGCAATCCGTGCCTGCATGAGGGGCATAGGCCATGGGAGCTGACACAGAGCTTTGAAGGGGTGGGAACTGTGCCTACGTCGCCTGGCCCAGGCGTGATAGTCATCAATGGCATGAGCCTGCTCGCCCGGCTGGGCTCTGAAGGCTCACCCGGCAGTATGTCACCCCAGTACATGTCAATAGCTATCTCACAAGAAGAAGTTGAACGTTCGGCCACAGAAAGCAGAAAGAAGCTAACTTTCCTCGCTTCGCGAATAGGCACGTTTGACATGAAGATTATCCAATCATTCCCAACAATCCAAGAGATCGAACCCTCTGCGACGACGGGTTCGTATGAGGTCAAGACTGGCACGGACTTTAGTATGCCCAACAGAACCTATCTTGTTGGGCTCGCGAAGGTCAATAACAGAGGACAAGTTGCTCCAGTCGGATCGGTAAGGACACGTCCAGGAGTTCATTGTCTATAGACTGATGACTCTTCCCTATGACAAGGTTGCTCCGGACAACGACCAGAACATTCAAGTCACTCCTAAGATGAGATTTTTCACTACGGAGAGTCATCAGATCTCTGGCGAGATTGTCGACCGCTCTGCTGTGGAGAGATATGGTGCTGTCGTGGACTTTAGCAGTGGCGAGGGCGCGGGGAAGTTCTATGCTACTGCGACACAGAACGAGGATGGCAGATTCACTGTGAAGTACTTCGACTCTCCTGAGTAGATGGAAGTACGAGTCCTCTGCGAGCACATTCCCGGAAAGAGCGTCGACCGCGATGAATGCCTGGCCTGGCAGCCCTGGATGTACCTCGCTGTGAGGAGAATGGAATGGAGTAATCAAGTGCAGTAGTTAGTTACTAGTTAGTCGCTAGTAGTTACTGTGTCAGTTGCTGACGCTGAGTAAGATATGCGTCAGCATTGCACGGCACGGCACGTCGGCGGAAAAATGGCGGAAACTGTCGGGAGAAAAGTAACTCGACTTGTTCCTCCACACTCACCTTGTCCTCATACTAGCCCAAGGCCCAAGCAATGTCTCTGAAGCTCTAGCTGTACACTTCCAATACAACACGACACAGCATTTGAAGAGCGCAAATTAAACAGCAATATACGTCGCTGATCGTACAGTAGCTCCATGGCAGCACGCTTTCTCTTACTCTGCTACCAGCATTCGACCGCCGATCGGGAAAAGCCCCCAGGCGGAAAATGAGGTCGGACGATTCCCACGAGCACATACGCAAAGCCCGAAAGGTCACTAGGGCGTGCGACGCCTGCAAGGCCAAGAAAAAGGCCTGCACCGGAAATATCCCTTGTGGTCCATGTACTCGCAAGCATCTGGAATGCACCTACCAGACGGCCTATAATCGCGGGGTAGCCCTCAGCCCCCCGCCATCCGCCTCCAACGATGATCGTCCACTCCCAACCCCGGGCCGTGGGAGAGAATATAGTGGCGGCAATACATTTTCCCCTTACCCTCGCAATCGGCAAACCCCGACGGGTGGGTTCCAATACACCGCTGTCGAGGGTTCACACAGTCCGCTCATCTCCCAGGCATCTGAGTCGGCACATCCGATCCAAGAGGCCTTGGTCGAGGTGGGAGGAGACGGAAGCTCGCCAGAGGTGGCCGGTCAATACTGGGGTCCTACGTCGGCGCATTCCTTCCTCGACCGTGTTGTTCAAGATCTTCATCCTGCGACGCGACGTTCGCCTTCACAGCAGCATGATCACGATACGCATTCGACAATCTCGATTTTCTCCTATGGCGACCGCGTTGTGCCGCTACCCTCGGTCATTCGGTTCACGTGGCCTGACAGGGCTACTGCTGTAGGCCTGGTTCAGCGATACTTCGACTTTGCTGCACCAACCTACCGAGTTCTCCATCAACCTACTGTCGAGAGGCTGGTATATCGCATGTACGAAAGCCAAACGCCGCACGACCGGTCCGGCTCATCGCCCGTCGAGCCTCCGCTCGAGGCGGCATCGCAAGCTCTTCTCTTGCTTCTCTTCAGCACCGCAACGATGTTTCGGGTAGACATGAGTGGACGTATGCGCGACGCAGATGACCATGGTTGGCAGAAGAGTGAGATGTATTATGCTCAGGCGGACCACCTCCTTTCTCGTGA